CCCCAAAACCCCAAAACCCCAAAACCCCAAAACCCCTGTAAATTAAGCAACATTGAATTTAATCTGAATATTCAAATACAGGGTTTAGCCTACTAAGTCCTTATGAAAGATTAAACAAATGTATTTAAGATGATTAATCTCGCTTAGCAAAGAAGGGAGTCATGGCTGGCCAAATAAAACATTTAGTAGCATGGAAAGTTGACAATTTTAAAGATTTTAGCCTCTTTTTGAAGTTTAATCACAACACTTGGTCACCAGTCTTGGTAGCATAATTACTACATTACTGCGACAACCTGCAAGAATATTAATAGCTAATTCTTGGAAAGACCTTCTTTTTTTTCATTATTAAATGCAATTTGGCATCAATAACTGGCCTGACTGAGCATCTAGGCCTTGTCTCTAGAGGCAATCGTAAAATGGGCTTAATTGTAGTGGTGTAGCATGGATGCTAGACTGAATACTGGATTATGATCTTTGGGTTCTGTTAATTCTAGCAAAGAGAGTCATTCTTATTCTTTACTGCAATATTTAGGTATATGATACTATTTGTAGATTAATAATCAGTTGGAAATTGATGTGTCACTAAAGTTGATTAATAACTAGGCTGGATGTCTTTGCAAAGCCTCAACTCTATTATCTCCATCAGAGGTCTTGGCTAATTTTCAGTAAATTCACAGATCGAAATTAATAATTTTTCTGATTTAATTGTTAATATTGTGAGTATTAAGGTCGCCTATTAAGCTTTTAAGAGGGTTGGAAACTTAGCCAATTTTAACTAGCACAAGCTCTATGAATTTTATCACAATGGAAGAATGGACTCTCCATTGGCAGAAAGATTACTAAAGAGTTTAATAAGACCATTAATTTAAGACTAATTATCAAGAATTAAAAGCAAAGCATGCACCGTTGCCTCTAGGTTATTCATAGAATTCGCAGAGAACTTTACAGAGTAGTTTCTGATTGGCTTTATAATTGAAAGTATTTAACCAATCTGTATAATTTCTTTAGGACAGGCTTTAAGATCTCTTTAGACCAACTATTAATTTTAAGAACTAAATTCTGATAAAACCTCGGCAATTGCTGCAGAAAATTTGTATCATTGATTCGAAACTTTCTTTAGAATTTGTTAAAACAATTATTTTGATAAATTCTGAACACATTTTGAGGCTTAGTGTCTACGCTAAATCAAAGATGCTTTATAGCACAGTTGATATAGAACATTCAAGGTCTGACTATCAGCCTCCCTGTCTCTTTCCAATTGTGCTGCTATAAATCTAGGATATAATTAATCAAGAAACTTTCGAGATGACTCATGAATCCATCAAATTATATCCTGGTGGATTTAACGGTAATGAAATCTCGTAAGCAGATACAAATCAGTAATTATGAATATGGGCAATGTGCCAATTTCATCGATCATTATTACTAAATTTTCTAATTTTTATTCTTCACAATTAATAGCTTTAAAGGGCTTGCTTAAGGAAGGCAAGGTAGGCTAGAATATAAGTAAACTAATCTATGAAGCATACACCCTCTAATATGTTATGGATAATATAATCATTTTGTATTATCTTTGAACTGTTCCCCTTTTTGACGGAATCAATCAATACTAAAGCCCGAGAGATCAAGCTCTAATCCTTTAGTAGAAAGAATGCTTAAGGAAAAGTTAGATAGTTAATCTCTAATTTGATTCAACAGTTTTTACTTCTTCTTACTGGCATATGGCATCAGGAAGAAATTTGCTCAGGTTGAGAATTCATCTGAAAATCTCTAATTTTGTCAACAGAGCCAAAATGTCATTTGAGGATTAATTAGAAAAAGAGTTTAGTCTCAAAGTAGAATGTACCCCTCTTCTACAAGGAGGATATGCGTCTGCTAATAGATGTAAAAGACCTTTGCATTTCTAATTTTATTAATTTTTGAGATAAATAAGGTAGATCAGACGCACAGTATTCTATCCCATTGTTTTAATTTTTGATAAAGTTATTAGAATTTAGCATAGGTATGCACCTCCTTATATTAAGAAGACAATCAAAGGTATTAAATTAATAGCAAGCAGACTTTTAGGAGGATTGTCTTAATCTTCTCTCTTATAAAAACTCACTCTTTTCTTGATTTCTCTAAAGCATCGCTATTAGTTTTCTTTAAATTATTTTCTAAATAAATATAAGATAAGAGTGAGATCGAATGAGCATGTATATTTCTTGCATATTCTTGGAGCAAATTCTAATTTCAATGTAAAAATAAGTAAATAGAACCAAGAATTTAGTACAATCGTATTTGCATAGAGGTTGAGGTGAAACATCTTTCCTGAATCATCTGCCAGATTCTGAATCCAAGAAGAATAATGTTTAGTTAAAAAAATTGATAGAATTTTTAGAATAATTTACGGATTAAACAAGGCTTTAAAGCCTGACCTTTGCTTGTGGCATAGACTTCATAGTTCTAAGAATCGTTATGAATGGCTCCTTCTGAACAGTATTACATATCTCCTTCCAGCTTTGGGGTTTCCATCCTTTCTGGCTACAGCTGAAGCAGAACTCTAGTTCGATGAAAATTAAGTGTTTCATTTGAGCTTTCTTTAGTTTTAAGTAAGAAGAAGTATAAAACTCCTTCTGAAGAGGCTTAAAGCTACATATTTTCTTTCGCTTAATATGCCTTTCTTGAGGGAGGTTAGAGCTTCAAGAGTCATGATTATCAGCTATGTGATCAAGCTCTGATGGAGAGATATTTGTATTCTTGTCTATTGAGAGCCAGCTCTTTTTGTTTTTGAAGCCATAAGGAGCTGCATCATAAATAATCCTTGAGATAATACAAAGGCTGTGGTGAAAAATAAGAATTCATCGTGGAAAATATCAAGGATTAGATCTTCATTAATCTAATAAAATAAGAACCTTTTTGGGTCTAGCGTTGAAAGAACATAATTAGGGTTGGAATTATGAATTTTTGATTCATAATTTTGACTTTAGTCATCAAGTGGTCTGGAAATTTATGGTGAGAGGCAGCTAGCTCAAATGCTAGGTTACTATCCTAAAGGTCAAATCATCAGTGGAAATAAAAGTATTCATGGACATGAAGTGATATAAATTGAGAGGACTACAGGCGATAGGATCTAATCATGAAAGCTTTCCAGGCCAACTAAGAGATTGCTCAAGCTGGTGGGGCATTATAAACACCAGACAACTTACTATTCTAAAGAACAGTGACTGATCTTACTGAGGTTCACTTGCAGCCTTACCTTAGAATTCTCAGCTTTTAATCCATTTATCAGGTTGCACTTTTTGCTACAGCCACCCACTTCTTTATGAATCAATTTATATAAATAAGAAGCCTAAGCACAAATAACTCTTATCCAACTTATCTGCCTCTATATATACTCTTTTTTATCAGAAGACTCATTGTAGTCTTCAGTGACATCTCATAAAGAATCATCCGTGAGTTCTAGAACCTCTGCACTGACTAACATGTATATCTATAATTTATTATTAAGATTTCAATCTTCTTGTTAAATAGGGGTTTTGGGGTTTTGGGGTTTTGGGG